CCTTCAAAAGGCTAAATGTTAAATAATTGATAAATGAGGTGTATTTTGATAAATTCATTTATACGCTTTAATTACTTGCCTTGACCAACTGAATGTCCAACATTTAATCATCAATCACTTTGTGCTTCAACTCAATTGTTCAGTTCACACCACTTTGCTTCGCATGACCGCACCACATGAGTTGTTGACAGCAGTCATGGCATTCCAACCTTATAGTATTGAAGTATGATGCCAATGGTGAGTCTACCGCACCTTCTTGGCTAGTTAGCCTACACCAGCAGCAACCAAATATTTATTTTTGGAAAAGTTTATATAAGTTGTCAACCTTATACTATTGAAGTATGATGCACCTCAAAAATCCTCCAGAAGAAAGTTTTTTGGAAAGCACTCCAATTTAATCATTTGGACTTATACGAAGAAAAATAGAATTGCAAGTTTTAAAAATAGTACATCTTGTATTAAATTATTTGGACAATCTATTTTAAAATTTTCAAGTGTTTATATATCTACTCAATTTGTACCATTTTAGGACTTTTAAATTTAATAAGTTAGGAATAAATATAGATTTGAAGCCATCATAAGGTGTCTAAAACTCAAACTACATCTCCAGACAAAATTTAGAAGTGCGCCTTGTTGTTGTTTACTTTTTTTGATAATTCAATGGGGAAGACATGCCCTTATCCGTTTTTTTTGATAATTCAGTGGGGAAGACATGCCCGTATCCATTTTTTCAAGTAGAATAGGAGGCAGCTTTTTGAAAATATTCATGGGTGGTGTTAGTGGTGGGAATGAAAACCACAACGTAATGACTCTACCCAACTTTTTTTTTTTTCTTTTGCAAATATGACGAGAGAGTTAGCACCTTAACCAATCAAGCCCGATGGCTTTTCATGACTCATAATTTACTTCTTGCTTCATTGTAAGAAAGGGTGGGACTTTCTACATGTGGATTTGTCGGTCAACAACAACACATTATTCATGCATGATATGATATGCTTATCACTTGCTTAACTATGTGCCCTCAAGGGAGAAATCGTCAAAACTCATATGTCATTCAATTTGATCTTAGAGATAAATAACTCAATGAATATCTTAAGTATCTACCAAAACCAATGCCCTATTTACACTTGGCACTACTAATTCCTTCTTTTAATTAGTAATGTCGAGGATTTCTTCGACAAGACTTAAAGAAATGTGCAATTACACGTGGTAATAAAAAAAACGAAAAAAAAAGGATGAGGTTTCTATAAGGCTTAGGCTGTATGAAAACAAAATTAAGTCTCACATGAAATTCTCGTCCAAAAAGTTCTTGAAATAACTATGATAGCTCTAAAATCAATTTTCAATACCGAGCATGAAATTTGAAACTAAAAAAATAGTACAGACCTCGTGGATTTATGAACACTTATTTTTAAGGCTAAATGAAAGGTCTAGATAATTTGTTATAATAACCATATTTTTAGAGCTTGAAATATATGTTTTTCTTTTACAACCATAATGTTCAAGCTAATATCATCGATATAAAGGTTTTCTAATGCTTGAATTGCAATTTTCGATGAGTTATAAAGTGAGGCTTTACTTATTTTGATAGGGCTGCAGCCCTATCAAGCCATTTTCCAAAAAAAACAAGGGTGTAATTAGCCATGCTTAGTTTTTTAATGAATGTAATCGTGATCCTCACCAAATTGGACACATGGTGTTTTGAGGACGAAATAATTGTAAATAAAATACAAGAGATAGAACAGCTAATCCTTGGTTGATAAATAATGGTAAGGGATTACTATTAATGATAAGATTATAAATATAAATGAAGCACATCGATATTTTCATCCCTTATTGTTTATTGGTTAATCCATGGCATAACAAAAAGAATGATTAAGATAATAGATCTCAAAATTGATGGTGTATCATGGCTTTTCTTGGAAAAATGTTGTTAAGTATTACTGTGAGCCCCACAATTTGCTGTAAAGCAAGGGTTCATAATTCAAAATTTGCTTAAGAAGCCAATTGTGGAATGCCAAATATGCTGGTCAACTCCCTTAGAACTGTCTCCCAAGTCTCTAACCAAAGCAATGTGGAGGATTAGGTTAATTAGGCATGATTCAAAGGATCTTTTGGTGTGGCTGGAGGGACCACATGATGCCCAATGTGGGTTAGGGGAGAGGATAATGGAGCCTTATCCCCACCACTTGGACCCATGAGAAAAACCCTAATGAGATTTGACTAAGTAATATGTGTGGAATGATAACAAACTCTTCTTAAATTCTTTAATAATGATTACTAATCGGTTTTATTGATTAAGTGGCATTAAGAGATTCTAGTACTCGTGGTCTTTTTGGGCTATGTGTGGGTCGTCCTTGATTTTGGTACACTACTTAATGTAGTCAAAAGTTTAGCCCTTAATTGAAATTGTTTCATCATTCTCTCTTTCTTTGAGAGAGAGAGGGGAGGGAGGGAGGGCTTCATAATGAATCGTAGGTGTATTTTATTTAGGGATACTTTACAGGAGCGCATACAGCATGGTCCCACGGGAACATGTATACATTTACTTACTTGGGGTAAAAACACTTGCTAAAGACTATTTTCACGATATGAAATTTTGAGTGTCTCTTAAAATCACCAGATTATTATTTTAAAAATATAATTTAGATTTTGAGCTCCTCAATACTTAGATTTGATGGTTCAAAAATTTGAGTTGTATTTCTTCAATATTGGGATGCTTCTTTTTCTAGCATTTACAAATTTGAAAGATGCCTGAGGAGGTTAGATCATAAATACCTCGAGCCCTTGCAAGACTACTTACCACGATTGGGGTGTACCATTTCTTTAAACAAAGTCCAAAAAAAATTCTTGGATTTTAAGCATAGCCAAGGTATATATGACTAGGGCTGGTTAGGTGACCTATCCCGGTTTGGCCCTAGAAACCTATTGCATTGGCCACAAACTATGGCTGGAAGGCCGGGCCAGGGCCGAACAACCTTGGCTCGAGGGCCAGGTTAGGCCACCTTGGTCTGAGGGCAGGCCAAGGCCACAAGAAGGCTGATCCAACCTGGCCTAGTGGGGCCCAATTTTTCTTTAATTTTTTATTATATTTTCTTTAAGTATATTAGACCCGGCCAGGCCTGAACAAGACTAGGGCTAGAGTCATGCTAGGGCCAAGGCTGGCCCAGCCGGGCCCATTGCCAGGCAGTCCTCTAACTCATAGAATTCAAATCTAACAGATGGGGGGGTCACTGCAACATGTGCGCCAAGACAAATGGTAAATACCACAAATTTGTGTAAGATGGGGTGGGATTGGGCAAGAGCTCAATGCGATTCACTTACCGAGTATTGGGAAGGGTGTGCCAAGTGGGAAGTTGAGATTGGTGGGAATAAACCAATTAGCATTTGCCATGCGCCTCCTCCAATTGCTTCTCTTCAATCAAAAGGGTTGATTCTTCCACCACGTTTGCTTTGTCCATTTATCTATCGTAAGGTGTCAACTTTATACTATTGAAGCAAAACCATGTCGAAAATATAGTTTCACTGCTGCAAAGCATAACAATAATATGAAAATCTTTTGTTTCCCACAATTATGAAATTTAAAGTTCAAGAAATAGTGACGATCAAACAAATCTATAACCATTTTAAAATCTTGAAAATGGACGGTCCAAATAATGTGCTAGAAAATGAACCATTTTTAAAACTATGAATCCCTTTTTTTTTTTTGTATATGAATCTCGAGGCTGACATGATCAGTTTGAGGGTTTTCCAGCATAAAAACAACCGTCTCTAGTGGGTTTTTTTAGTTGCACCTTACTCATACAGTATAAGGTTGAGATTTATATATAAACTTTTCCCTTTTCTAAATCCTCAAATTTTAGGGCCGTTATTTGGTAATTAGTCCCAATCTATGGTGGATGATGGCATGGGTTTGTTTTGTTGTTGTGCTACTTTCCCAAACTCACATGCACAACATCGTGTGTGAGACTTTCCAATGACACGATGAGAGAGAAAGAGATGCGTGCTGTGATGCCTATGTTTTTCTTAGCGAAATCCCCGCTGTGCAATGAATGACATTAGTCGAAAAAGAACAAAGTATAAGTTACATGGGGTGTGAGAGAATAATATAAAATTCTAGAGAGAGAAAGAGAGCTAATTTAAAATGCATTCTAGAGAGAGAAAGAGAGCTAATTTAAAATGCAGTTATTTTTAAGAGAAGGCGCTTTCTTGAGAAAAGGGGGTTAAAAAGCTCTGTTTCCCATGTCCTTCCTTCCCCAAAACCCACGCGCTCTTCTTCTCTCTCATTTAGTTGAGAAACTGGTGTTCAAAGTTTAGCTCTCCCTTAATCTTCAATCTTCAACACTTGAAGCTCTCATTTAGTTGAGAAACTGGTGTTCAAGTTTCTCTCTCCCTTAATCTTCAATCTTCAACACTTGTGGGGCCCTGCGTTTCTTTTCTTCACATCTAGAGACGAAAGATAAAGGGCTTGTAGCTTTCATTTTAAGAATACTAGAGATAGCAGCAAATGCTCTCTCTTTCTCGCTGCCTTCAAAGGGGACTTTCAGCTACCAGAGACATTGTGTGAAACGTGCTAGTGCGAGGAAATCTTCAAAGCGAAGCTTATACTCTCTCTCTCGGTGCCGCGCAAAGATCGAATGTTGAGGAGATAGAGTTGTTGAGGCAAAACATTCGAGGAGAGGTAGGCCTCCAATCCCTCGGGTTTTGCTCCCTTTGTTCCTCATACTTTCCTGAATGAATCGGAATGTTCATTCTCTTTTTCCACCCCAAATGTTTAGAATCCAATTTTTGTCTTCCATTCCTCATTGCTTTTAAAAAAGAAAAAAGAAAAAAGAAGAAACACAATGTTTTGATTCCATTTTGCTTGTTTGATAAGTGCATTAGGATTGTTGAAGGCCACCAAGAAACGGCAACAGAATGGAGGAAAATAATATTTAGAGAGAGAGGGGTGCACAATATTTCTGGTCAATTTCAAAGGTGTCCAACAATTGTGGTCCAAAATATTTTTAAGAGAGAGAGAGAGGTTGTTGGGGAAGAACTCTACATTGAATGCTATGAGAGTTACATGGGAATATCTTCAGTAACCTGCTCCAACTTTTATCCGCACCACACATGACCAAGGCTTCAGTTAAGACAACTGCAATCAATGTTTGTAGCAAGTGGCACTTCTCAAGAACGAATTTCTACCACCCAACTACTCAAAAAAAAAAAAAAGTTGTAATTTCCGAATTTGATTTTGATTTAGTTTCCTATTTTGTATCCAATCCCACTACACAATTTGGTTTTTAACTTTCCTAATGACCTTTTTTGCATGTAATATTGGCTTGGATTGTATCCTTCTAACTCTTGACCCTCAAAATAGAATTTTTGTTTTTAAAGAAATAAGAGAAATTAAATTGGAATATTGCAGGTATTTTTGACAGCCAAAGATGGGGGCTGAACCATTCACTAAGTACAAGGTATGGATTTTCAAACTGGTCATTTCTTTTTTTATCTCACGATTAGGAATCGGGTTTTTGGGCTTAAGTAGTTGCTAATATACATTTTGCAGCGCTACATCTCAAGTTCGATTCCTATGATTCAACTACAAAAAATAAAATAAAATTGAACTACATGCAAAAAAAAAAAAAAGCAAAAAAAAGGGCCTTGTTCGATTCCTATAGTTCAACTACAAAAAAATAAAATATAGAGAGGTAAAAGTCATATAGCTTTTTCCTTTCTTAGTGGACAACGGCAGAAAATAGTGACCCAAAGCATGTGGGTCCTCCACCATCCGTCCATATAGGGGAAGATGTATGGTGGATGCCTAACTTTCATACTATACACACTAGGTGTATTTGTTTACATTTTTTTTTTCTATTTTCATGTTATTTGTTTTATGTCATCTTTCTTTGTCTTCTATTTAGCATATCCTTTTATTCTTTGTAGTCTTCTTGGCCTAAAACAGTAGTGAAGAAATGGCTGAATATCAAGACTAATGCGAATGAATTTCAGTCTGACTATTGGATTCAAGGCAAGACTCACTCATATTGACTTTTATCATCATCTGAACTTTATCTCAACTATTTGCAGTCAATAAATTAAAAAAATATTATTTGATAATATATCATCTATTCTTGAATTGCAGGACCGCAAGAACGAAGGAAGAGCTGCTCCAATAAGGATCATTACATACTCACAAAGCACTACCCAGGTATTATTCATTCTATTCAAAACCAAAAGCAAAATCACGCTTGCAATAAAAAAGAATCTGGGAAAGTAAATAGTGAAGATGGAGGCCATGATCCCCAAATAAATTAACTTTCAAGAGATTACTTAGAGTTGTTTTTTGGCAACAGGATCACTTTCCAATGGGAGGGAGGAGAATCTCAAAAGGCCTAGGGTAGAGCTAGATGGACCACAAAAGGGTACTGGCGATCGGAAATTAAGGTGTGTATTACTACTAATGATTTTATTATTATTATTATTATTATTATTATTTTTTTTTAAGGAAGTGATTTCATTCATTTTGGGGTCCTATTTTTACATTTGTGATCACTTTGTATTTGGATATAGGATGTTTGTTGGCACATGGAATGTTGGCGGCAGAGCACCGAATCCGGATTTAAGTTTGAAGGAGTGGCTCAACACACCGACTCCATCAGACATTTATGTATGCGGGTACGTCACGTTTTACAACATACGCATGCAAACACTGATGTTTGATCCAGCGGCCAAGCCCGCATATGTAGAAATGTGGGCATCTTAATAAATCTATTTTTGAGATGGATTTTAAGATTTAATTTTTAAAGACATGTAATCCTTAACATGGAGATCAAGAATATAAATAAATAAATAAATTTTTAAAACTAAAAATAATAATTTTAATAAAAAAACATTTGAAAAATTCTATTATATTTAGATAAAACACGTACTTTGCAACTATTTTCAAGATGGATACTTTACCCTTTCTGGACAGCATATACAGAAATGCGGTCCATCCCGCATGAAATGATTTTCCTTTAACTAAACGCTCCAAAAAAAAACATTCATGTTTTGACTATGTGAAATCATATCTTTCTTATGCTGGAGCACAGTGTATATTTGCTCCGTGAAGTAAATACCAAACTAGGAGTATTTTTCGGGCCCTAGAATTTGGGGTTGAACCTCTTGAACCTAGCGACCGAACTCAAAAGAAAAAAATCAAATTGTACACCACTGTGTGGCAAAAAAAAAACATCCCAAGATTGAATATGGACCTTTCAAGTTTTGAATGGCAAGATTAAGTGTTTAACAACTCAAAGTCCATTGTTTTTGTTTGAACTATTCATTTGATGATACTTAGACGGATTCTAAAATTTTAGTCTAAAAAATTCTCCCAAATAGCCCTTTTTCCCTAGGTAGTTTCTGTACAATATGCTCCAGCAGAAGCATACTATAAGCTTTTCTTAACTTTTCAACAAGATTGTATGATGGCAGAAAAAAGTTTTATATGGTACGACAGAGGCTTTACGATAAAAATCAAAGTCGCACCTCAAAACCATGGAGGAAAAGATCGATGAAAACTGTCAAATTAATTATTTGAACCTTGGCAACTTTAGATCAGAAAAAAAATGGATTTCGGGTTTTAAAAGTAGTGTATCTAGTAATGTATTATCTGATTATTTATTTTTTAGCGTTTACAAATTCACTGCATCTACATCATTTACAAAGCACAAAATCTGGGACAAATTTATTTTCAGGCCATCATAGGGTTTTAAGGCGCCAAAACTGTATTTTTTGGTATGGTTATATGGTGCAATTTCATTTTTTAACAAAATTGCTATGCCTCATGCTACCCATTTTGAAATTTAGAAGCAAAAATAATTATAACCTCCATATACAAATGATAAGTGGTTTCTTTAGACAATCCCAATAATTTATTAGGATTTTTCAAACTATGGTTTAACTGGTATGTTTCATTTGGTTTTCTTTGTCAGATTTCAAGAAATTGTGCCATTAAATGCTGGAAATGTTTTAGGAGCCGAGGACAGGGGCCCCGCTACCAAGTGGCTCACTTTGATTCGCCGTACCCTAAACGACCCTGAGAGTGACCGAACCGTGGGACCCACCTCAACGAAATCCCCTCAATTTGAAGATGAAGAAAATGATCATCAACCACTCCAACGGCCACGGATAAGCTTCTCTGATCTGTTGTCATTACAAGATGAGATGAATGCTGAAGAATTTGGAAGCTCAAAATCAAACTTAAACCCACACAATGAATATTCTTTTTCAGCCTTGAGCCCCACTCAATCATTAGAAAGGCATAATGAGGGCAAGAATGGCTACTATTTGGCTGCAAGCAAACAAATGGTGGGAATATTCCTGTGTGTGTGGGTCCGCAATGAGTTGAACCAACATATTACAAATTTGAAGGTTTCATGCGTTGGACGTGGGCTCATGGGTTACATGGGAAACAAGGTCAGTATTTTAGATTTTGGCATTTTTATTCATCTCTTTAGGTTTAAAATTTGGCAATGTGAATGGTTTTTATATAAATAACCTAATTTCAGTTATATTTATTTCGTTTGTTTCTTACATTTCCTTGATATAGATTGATTTGATTATTGGATTGCAATTTTTTTTGTGAAATATAGAAGTTATTGTTATTGTGGAAAAGTATACACTGAGGCTATTTACCTTTAGTACAAGGTGGTCACAGTCAATCTTAACTATTGGATGTGAAATTGAGTGGATGCATGTAATCCATTGATCAAGTTCAAAAGAAATTTTTTCGCACTTTAACACATCCAAGCTATCAGATTTACTATCGAATAGTTATAAATAATTGTGACCTCCTTGTACAAAAAGTAAATGGTCTCACTGTATACAATCCCTATTATTACTACTACCTATATTATTATTGTTGTTATTGTTATTATTTATTTATTTATTCAATGTTCTTTCTCTCCATTATTTAGAAGACAAATGCTGATGTTGTTTATAATAAAATAAGGTGGCCTAACATGGAAATCGCCAAACCTATCTAATTCATATTGTAGTCATAGTGACAGGAAAAAAATAACAAAATTGAAAGAAAAGAAATTTCTTTTAGCGAAATGAGGAGCAAGATGCACCTTCATGCACTACCAACTTGTAATAGAAGAGGAAGAATATTGAGAAAATAAAAAAGAGAATATAAAAATCGTACACTACTTAAGAAAATGTGTTGATGATTTATGAGAACGTCGTGGGTCTTGCCAACCATTTCCAGAATATATGGCATTAATTCATTCAAATCTACAATGAGATGAAGCTCCTTGATTTATTGCTAGAACGTGTTTCAACATGTTCCCATAAAAAATTTCCAAGTTCCAACATATTATTTTATGAAAAAGTATGCAAATGTACCTTTTATCTTAGGTACAAGGTATGCAAATATACCTTTCAAATATACCTTTCAAATCGGATGGCTATGTATATGTTATTGTATTCGATTGAATTTTAAAAAAAAAAAAAAATCTTAAACTTTGTCATAAACCCCAAACAGTCCAATTTGACATCTAATGGCTACGACTAATTATGACCTCTTACAATAAACATAAAAGGTTTATTTAAAGCTTAGGCTCTAAACAATCAAATTAGAGCCTACTTCAAAACATTCACTACAAGAAGTTCTTTTGATGCCCGAATATCATCAAATTGATCATCTCGACATCAAGATGTATGGACATGAGAAAAGATGAATTTCAAGTTTTGGAAATAGTGCATCTTGTAATGTATTTTTCGACCGTTGATTTTTAAGATTTTCAAGCTTTCATAGATCCGATCAATCTACATTATTTTTTAAGCTTTAAATTTTATAACTAAAGTTGAAAAAATTTAAGGCTATCACAAAACATTCTGGCATTGAAATCATATTTCTTGACACTATTTGAAGGTGGGCTCAAATTTGATTGTTTAGAACCTCGGCTTTATACAAACCGCACCCAAAAATAAATGGTCTCATAATATGCAATCCGTTATTTTATTTATCTAAAAAATCATTTTATATTTTTAATTCGATCCCTTCTGCAATAACTCTAGAAATTAAGAATACATTTTTACTATGACAAAATTTCACTGAGTTTTTCTTACTTCAATGCAGGGCTCAGTTTCCATTAGCATGACTCTTCACCAAACAACCTTTTGCTTTGTTTGCACTCATCTCACATCTGGAGAGAAGGAAGGTGATGAGGTTAGGAGAAATTTGGATATCATGGAAATACTGAAAAAGACAAGGTTTCCTCAATCACATCCGGTCTTTGCACCTCCCACCCCCGATAGCATATTAGACCATGAGTAAGTCAAGAGTTGGCCCTCTTCTTTTAACGAATATTTATTGAATTATACTATTTATTTATTTTCAAATGTTTTTATTTTTGCAGTAAGATAATATGGCTTGGAGATCTAAACTATCGTCTCGCATCAAGTGATGGAGAGATGCATGCCTTGATCCAAAGAAATGATTGGGAAGCCTTGTTGGAGAAAGACCAGGTAGAGTAATTTCAATTTGAGATGTAGTGTTATTAATGTCAACTACTAACCACTCAAGCTTGCTCAAGCCCGATTACTCATCTCTATTCTTTAGTTGAGATGAAAGCAATTTTCTTTCCGTAACTTGCTAATTAAAAAATCTCAACGGTCATGTGCCAAAAGCCTATTAAGAAGATAGACTATTCCATTATATATGCCCCTTTTTAAATGGGTTCTTTGGACTTCTTGCTAGTTGATGGCAGCTATTATTGACAAAAAAATTAATTAATCAAATCCATGTGGTTTCTTGGAGATTAATTAAGGATTGGGAAACTATTTCTACACTTCTTTTGAGTAAATTACATACTTAAGAGCTCCACCAAAATGTGTATTGTTTTGCTATATTCCAATGGTTTATTCAATATGAGTTTAATCATTCCTTTTGGGAATTTTGCAGCTCCTACAAGAGAGAAAGGCTGGTCGAATATTCAATGGATGGAAGGAAGGGAAAATTTACTTTGCTCCCACCTACAAATATGTTGTTAATTCGGAACAGTATGCTGCCCAAAATGCTAAGCCCAGAGAAAAACGACGAACCCCAGCTTGGTAAGGCCTCTTTCGTTAATAGTAAAACTTTGAATAAAATCTTTGATTTCTGTTCTTTCAGCAGTTTCATTCATTTTGTCCCGATATGCTTCACATTGATCTACGATATCTCTTGGAGATTTTTAAAAATCAGGGAAGTTGATTTTTGGCTAATTTTGGGCTAATTTTCAGCCATTTGGTTCTTCCATGTTCTTTACAAATGATGTTTAATATTTATTTTTTTATTTTGATTTTGATTTGTGCCTCCTGTAGATGAATTCTCAAATTCTGTATTCTTATATTTTTTACCTATTTTTGGCCTTCTCTTTTTTTGTTTTGTGTTTTATAATATCGACTGACTTAGTCGAGCTGACATGGCAAATCAGATCTATTGACTTGAGCCTGTCAGGCACACTGTTTGGGTACCCGAGCCAGTTTTTTAAGCACCAAAAGACTAAGGGCGTGTTTGATAAGTGCAAGTTTCTGGAAGTGGGAGTTAAATGTCTCACTTCTATGTTTGATATTACTGTGTGGAAGCTGTAAAATGGAAAGGCGACCTTTCATGCAGTCTTTTTTTAGTATTAGCATAGGTTTATTTTTGGAAGATCTCTCTTCAATCTTCCATAATTTGTGAGAGAGTCCCCTCCATTTCCAAAAACTCCATGTGTTAAACACACCGTAAAGGTTTTTTCTTGATGCAATGCGAGTGCTCCAATGATTTTTTTTTTTACTCTTTTTATTTTACCTTAATGCCTTGCAATGCTTTCCTATTTTTTTGCAAGGAAACCTCTTTAAACTGGAGTGGAATTTCTGTAATTTTTACACAAAGCACTAAAGAAAGTTATTGGGCAATTAGCCGCTTCTCACATGTGACCTTATTTTATAAAACCTTTCACCTTTATTACAGGAAGTTCACAATCATCCCAACCCCTACTTATTATATGTAAAACACACCCACTTCAAGGGCAGGACAAAATTTGAAAATAATCCTTTCCATTCATTAGCCAGATCAATGTTACACTTTTAAGTGCCCCAATTTTACAAACATTTAGTAAATGCCCTTATGGTATACTTTCTTTTATTTTATTTGAGAGTGTATACAATGAGACCATTTATCTCTAGTATAAGGAGGTTACAATTATTTATAACTATCCGATGTGTAATCTGATAGCTTGGATGTGTCACAAAATTTGAAATTTTTTTTTTTAAAGTTTTTATTTAGTCAGTGAAATAAATACAACCATCCAATTTTACATCTAATGATAAAAATTAATTGTATCCTCTTTGTATAAAAAGATAACGTTGTATAGTTTTCTTTTTTTATTAAGGGTGATCTTATCTAAATCTCTCTCTCTATTTTTTATTTTGGTAAGTACAAGAAATACTTCTCTCTATTGACCCACTTGTGTGCGTGTGGCGACGGGCAAAACAGGTGCGATCGCATCTTATGGCGTGGGAGTGGGCTGACCCAACTGACCTATTCTCGGGCCGAGTCCAAATTCTCGGACCACCGGCCCGTCTTCTCTCTCTTCTTTCTCCAACTCTCTATTCTCTCTCTAACTCTACAAACCAACTCTCACTTCAACTGTCATGAACCCCCAAAGCCCTCTACCTGCACAACTGCCAGGGTCTTGGCCGAAGAGCTGCTCCCCAGTCACCTTGTCGCCCATTGACCCATCCCATGCCTCACCAACATTTTTAGAGAGAGAAACCCTTTTTGTAGAGAGAGAAAGAAATCAACCATCATGTCTCATTGTGCCGGGAGTGCGCAGACCGAAGGTCGGCGCGGCCGGTGGGCTCAGGGGTCACGCTTTGAGGGTGAAAAGCTGGACCCCTCGAGCTCGTGGGTCACGCTTTGAGGGTGAAAAGCTGGACCCCTCGAGTTCGTTGTAGAGAGAGCAGGGAAAGATGCCAAAGCCTAACCACTCTCTCTCATCATGAGGGAACATGTGTATACCTGCAATTTTCTCTCTCTTCCCAGATTTGAGTTTTGTTTTTTGTATTTATTTTTTTTGTCTTTTGCGCTCCAGCTGTACTTGGTGGCGTTCATGATGCAGGAAAGAGTCTTTGGCTATTTTTTATTTTATTTTTTTTGGCGCCTTTACGGCATTTTTTTAATGTAAATATTATTATTTTTTGTTCTTTTTTGAGTTAAATGACTTTGTTATTGGTTTTGCTGCTTAATAAAGATGAGGAAATTTTTCTTGGTCTGCAGTAGTTTATGTTGATTAGGTTTAGCCTTTTTACTTCCTTGTCATTTACTAGTTTCTTTTGACTTACTTAACTGGAAAATTCTTTTGGACTGTATCTTCTGTGGGTTTGGAGCTGCACCTTATTTTATTGTTATTATTTTTTGAGTGATTCGGTTGGGGGTAGGAATTGAGCCAGGCTAATTAAGCCCGTACTCTTTTTCCCATTTTATTTTATTATGTGATGTGTGCGCTTTATATCAATGTTGTCGTATCCTCTTCGGGTTTTATTTTATTATGTCATGTGTGCGCTTTATATCAATGTTACCGAATTCGTTTCAGATATTTTTGGTTTGGTTCAAAAAATGAAACAATTTGAAAAATGAAACAATTCGGTGCTACGGTTTATTTTGGAGGAAGATTTCAGATTTTTTTTAATTTAATATAAATAAACTAAAAATTTATATATATCAAATATATAAAAATAATGGAAAAAATTTAAAATTTTAAAATAAATTTTTTTAAAAAATACTTTTATATAGGTAATTTCTTTTCTAACCGAAACATCCCGACGTTTCGACCGAAGTAGACCTGAAGTATCCCAAAACGGCTTGAATATGACCAAAGTGACAGCACCACGTTTATCTTCGGCCAAAGCAAAATCCGAAAGCTTCGGCCAAAGCAAAATGAATTTGATAACATTACTTTATATGAACTGCACCCTATTTTATTTTGACCAAACACTATATAATAAGACTCGTGGATTTGTTACAAAATATTTGTTTAATTTATCATTGCCATTTACCTTAGCAAAATCATCGTAGTTACAAATGAAAGTAGGCTTTACTATTAACCACCCTTGAAATCTCAAAAAAAAAAAATAAAAAAATTTTACACCCATACTATATTTAAATATGATAATTATGCATGGGTCTAAAATTTATTAAAATCTATGAGGTCCAATGGTTTGATGTTCCAAACATCAAACCGTTGTTTTTTTTCACTTTTTTTTTTTTTAACTCTCTCCTTAATGTTCTAAACATCTGACTACTTATTCATTTTACTTTTAATTTTTTGAAATGTAGGAACCTGTCTCAGATTCCAGACCTCAGACTGCTTAGCTTCTCTGAAGATTGTTCAAGCCAAGTGGTTTGAGATCTAGAAACTCATACAAGTCCCTAGAGTGTGAAATTCATAGTCTACGTACTTATCCCACGTCTAGAATGTTGGACTAAAATTCACAGTTTAGCGACCCGTCCAAGGTTAAAGACCTTGGAGCACTTGCCTTGCACAATCTTCATATGAGCCAAGTAGCGTAAGGATCTAGAACTCAAACTAGCTATGCATTTAAAAAAAAATTAAAAATAAAAATAAAAATACAGTACAATGTTTGGACAAAGGGGAAAAAAAATAAATCAAATGGTTCTTAGTGTGGAATCTGCAAAATTTGTACCTCCACATAATTCCCTATTTTATTTATGGCACAAGCATAATTTCTTGAAAAATAAAAAATCTTTGGCACAAGCATAATTTCTTGAAAAAGAAAAAATCTTTAGGATTTCTCATAAAAAAGTCTTATCCTACAGTCTGATTTTAAATTGGAAAGCTCGGGGAGATTGTGATCTTTGCGTACAAAGGACAATAGGGTTCATTGTACGCAATCCCGTTTATTTAGTTCAACCAAAAAAAGTTTCATGCAAGGAACTCCATCCCCAAAACAATCTACACCTTTAATTTAACCAGGATCCGCATAACTATGCTTAGAACTTAAAGTTACAAAATTTGTCATTCTAGATGGACGATTTAAATCAACGCTTGAATAAAGTAGGGACTCTCATACTTTAGGATAAAAGACAAGGAAATAAATTTCTTAGTTAAGGGTACCTCAAGGAAATAAATTTTTTTCTCTCTTCGACATGCATGTGATGACGTTTTTTTTCTTTATTTGGGTGAGTCAATCGGGACATCCGCCTCTACCGGTTTTATTAAAAAAAAAACAAAAGAAATTTTACATAAACAAGTTTTATACAACTCTTAACAAGTGAACACTAGCAACATCAGCTGAAATGTAAGATATTACAAATCAAAGGGGCGAGTACGCCACACAATTGCTTCATTCATAGAGACCGCCGTTTTAGCCAAAAAAATCTGCAGCTATATTTGCCTCCCTGCAGCCATATTTATAAACATGTTGCCGCCTTTCGTTGTTGGTCAACAAAAGACGCAAGCTAGGGTATACTATTAGCCAAATTTAAACGCAATCTCCAGATAGGCCTGCAACGCCGATGCATGTGATGACTTGCATTGATGCATGTGATAACTTGCATTTATGCGACTCTCTCTCTATCTCTTACATGCATGTTGGTTATAGATTGCTACAATACTCATTATCACTACTATTACTCTAATGCATGCACATGCCCACACATTATTTCCAGTTCACAGCACGCATATAACCACATGTACACAGCAAAACACACATGCATCTTTCATCTTTTGACAGATTTAAACAGGCACCAAGTCACATGCTCTATTTTTATCTCAAAATTTTCCATGACTTTTTTAATTTTTCCTTGGCTGGTTTCAATCTTTTAATTTATCTTTTTATTTTTTGAGTTCCTATTAAAAGTTTCTAATGTTGTAAGTTTTTTTCTTGTGAAATCCATCAACGTTCTATTTATTTATTTTTAAGAGTGATTTACATATAGATCTTAAAATTTAGGTAAAATACGAAATGCTTCACTTATATACAGAAATTACAAAGAAAATAAGTCAACTCACTTTTTTTATTTTCAAAATTGTCCATTGGTCAACTCAAAATTTGATTTTTTTTTGTTAGTTTTTTCGTTAGTAGTAGGGTAGTGCTTTAAAGCATGGGGCATTTGTCTACTAATGAAAATTTGGGTTGATTAAGGGTAATTCTAAAAAAAAAAAAAAAAAGAAAGAAAAGTTGACCGATTTTCTTTGTAATTTTCACATATAAATGAAACATTTTGTATTTTAACTACAATTTTTAGATCTATACATACATCACTCAAATTTTAAATTTTTTTATTTTTTTGTGTTCCTCGGAAAATATGATTTGATCCAGCAATTCTGAGGGATGGCTGCAAATATGTTTCAATATGTTCCTTCAAAATCATAGGTATAATAATAAAAAAGTAGTGGTTTTAGGATATAATATTGGGGCTCGACTGATTGAAAAACACAAAAACAAATAGAGAATAATAGAAAAAATTTGATTGAGCAGTTTCCAGTGGCCACGCGGCTTATCGCAAACTGAGTGTTATGATGTCCATGTGAATCATTTTCTACAAAGTAATTCTAGAGAACCTAACTTTGGCAGTGCATGCGCTACTCTCTCTCTCTAACTTTGGATGGAGCACCATGAATCTCACTCTCTCATTGACTGGACAGTGTCTAACCAATTGATTGGAATATTCAAATTTACCTCCTGAGCCTAACTTTGGCAACCGTTCATGTGGTTATGGAGTTTGGAAACATTGGCTCCTTCGAAAAAGAAAGGGAAAAGGGTGCGGTTTTTATATACCCTAGGCTCTAAACAATCAATTAGAGCCTACCTTCAAATAGGGTCGAGAAATATGGTTTCAATACTAAAAATATTTGTGATAGTCATAAAATATATTTTTATTTTTATTTATAAAATTTAAAGCTTAAAAAATAGTGTTAATCGATAGATCTATGAAAACTTGAAAATCTTGAAAATTGACGGTCCGAAAATACATTACAAAATATACTATTTTCAAAAAGTAAAATCCACTTTTTTCTCATGTCCATACATCTTGATGTCCAGATAATCAAGTTTGATGATATTTGGACATCAAAACAACCTCTTTTAATAAAATTTTTGAAGTAGGCCTACCTCGTAAATTTGAAAAAAATAGTTTGATAGGACTGCATCCCTATGAAACTATTACCAGATAATTACCGCGACACCAGATAATTACCAGGAGAAAGTGTGAGAGGAAAATTCTCTGAACCAAATGGAAATGGACTTAAAAGGAAGAAGAGACCTTCAAACCATTAGCTTAATCGGATAAAAACAAACCATCAGTTCAGAACCAGGAATAAAAATTTCCAGAAGAGAGAGAAAAGACAGAGAGACATAGAGAGATGAAATTCGTGAAACAAGATACCAGGGGTTTCATATATGACCAACAACCTATAACTCAAATGAAAATCTTGTAAAAAACACAAAACAATGGAAGGAGGAAAGATAAATCTGTTTTTTATTCCCCAAAGATTAACATAGACTCAAATGAGAGAAAATAAAACAAGAAAATGAGAGAGAAACAATACACAAACAATTTCCTAAAGGGTTTATACTAAAACCATGGGCTCAAAACCAGATGTAATGGAGAAAAGTCCAAAAACAAAAGAAAACCACTGCAACAATCCCTTATTTCTCCTCACTCACCTGCTCCGCTGAATTTAATCATCCATTATCATTTACCAATTTGGTTAAACCTCAAGTGGTATTTAGTGCTTGACGCATAGACCAATTCACGGTAGAGAGAGAAGATGGAGAAGAAGACTTTCGAGATGATGAAGAAAGGGGAAGATTGATGAGCAAAGCCAAACCAGAGAATAGGCAAAACAGAGCTCACCCATGCCAAACTCGCAGGGTTTCCTGCTATTGGTATATGGATATCTTGGGTTCTTGAGTTTGAAGAGGAGTGTTAGGATATGGATATCGTGGGTTCTTGAGTTTGAGGGGGAGTGTTGGGATATGGATATATTGGGTTAATATTGATATACATCATTATCATTATGGATGTATATGTATATGCTTCTTAATAAGGTCAAGTATCAAGAACATAGAGACCAAGTTACTTAATCATCAAGTTATCATACTATATTTATTTCATGTAATCGTGTGATTGTATAGAGGAACTTATTGATGTAAATAATGATCCAAAATAATAAAGATGTAGCTCGTTGGGCTTTGAATTCGTGGAGGTAAGACTTCGACCTGAATCACGTAAATGTTGCGTTCTCTC